TTACAATGTAAATGGAAGAAACATGAGAGAGATAGAAGAAACTGACAAGTTACATGATGACAGGTGTGAAGTCAGAAGCCACTGAGAAGAAATGTTCCACTGGAGGTATCACATACAAGTGCATCCAAAGGGTTTGTTTGTTGAGAATTAAGCACAAAGCTACACAATGGGCTATCTGTGCTCTGCCCACCACGGGTATCGAAACCCGGTTTTTAGCGTTGTAAGTCTGCAGACATACCGCCGTGACACTGGGGAGTGCATCCCAAGGGAATGACAAAATGAAGCCATTGTCACCAATGTAGAAAGATGTCTTTGGAAGTAGGTGAACAAGACTTGAAGGCTTACAATGCTATATGAGATGGCAGAAGTGTTCCTTGAACTGTGTTGATCCAAAATTCTGGATGCACCAAATACTGTGTTGGTGCTAATTAAGAATTAGAAATATGGATGATCCATCCAAGAGATGTTTGTTTGTTTTGTGGATTTAACAGAAAGCTACACGAGGGCTATCTGCGCTAGCTGTCTCTAATTTAGCAGTGTAAGATTGGAGGGAAGGCAGCTAGCTAGTCATCACCTCCCACCGCCAGCTCTTGGGCTCCTCTTTTACCAACGAATAGTGGGATTGACCATCACATTATAATGCCCCCACGGCTGAAAGGGCGAGCATGTCTGGTGGGACGGGAAGTCTAGAGAGGTCTCCAATCTTCTGATTACTTCAGAACCACAAGGAGATGGGAGTAAAAACCTGGAGTCAAACGATTTTGACTCTTTCTGAAGGAGGTTTGAGACATCCTGATCAAGAATTTGTAACCAACTAGAATAGAAAGAAGATGAAGAAACGTTAAGACCAGATTGACAGATCTGTCAAAGCTCAGGGTTCAACAGAAGAATAAAGGATTCAAGATAACTCTCCCAACAGTTAAGATGACAGTAGATTTCACCACTTGGTAGGGCTAGAAAGGAACTAGTAAAGCATCTACTGAGACGTAGAAAAGGAAGGAAAGACACAAAGATTAACATTATTTGCTGGTCACCTCAAAAAGAATGATGGCTAAAAGAAGTAAGATGAAATGAAAAAAAACCCCAATCAGCTCCTACTATCTTCTAAATGATGCAAGGTTGAAACTCTTGAAGATCAGTTAAAAAGTTGGGCAAATTATCATGTGGTAATAGGACATATATTTATGAGAACTGCTGCAAAGGAACATGTTGAAGTATAAGTTAGTTCACACGATCAGAGGTTTAAAAACTTGAGAACATTGATGAGTAGAGAAAGACAACCCCACTAAAAAAATCTATTAACATATTGCTGACAACACAAAGCATCAAATGACCCCAAAATTGAAAGAGGTGGAAAATAAATAGACTCAATGCCTGAATCGTCCTATGTGACATTAATATCCTCAAGCATAAGAATTAGTACAAAATTTAAAGAGAATATACCCTTGCAATAGTATGAAATTAAACATTAATTACTCTCTATAAATTGTTATTGCACAGAAAAACCATAATTTTTATAGCCTTCAATTTTGGTTGGTTACAAAGCTATCAAATAAAAAATCAGACCCTTCCTGCCACATCCTCTCTTTCAGAATTCATTGATAGTTCTCTCTTATCTTTCATTATGTATTACCTTTAACCAATAGAAAGTCAAGATTTTCATCTATCAAATGATGTATTGTATATCATCATGTTCTGAACAGTTAGATTTCAATTTCACTCAGAGTACCAGCATCGTTCCTGTGGGAAAGTTAATGACTAGCTTGGATGAATTTGTAACGACTCTTGTCGCATAGTTAGAGCTAGGAAAATTTTGAGAGGTAAGTAAATTTGTCTACTTTTTGCATGTTATTAGTCTATATTCTTTAGTGCAATATTTAATTAAATAAGATTATTTAATGCATTACTATCTATAGTATAAAAAATTTGGGCTAACTTTATTTGAAAACTAACAGCAAGAAACAAGAAGACTGGTTAAGTATTTAATTTCTTGTTTTTCACGTTTATTCTTTATGTATAATTATAAAAGTAACTTAAATGTAAAAATATGGACCTTTTTAGGTTTATTAAAATTAGATTAGGTAAAATAAATAATAATATTATAATAAAAATGTTTCATAAGGCACATGCAAGCAGCTCGTCGATAATGTAATTCTTTAGCGTAATGTGAGCTGCACATT